AAGGAAGGAAGGAAGGAAGGAAGGAAGGAAGGAAGGAAGGAAGGAAGGAAGGAAGGAAGGAAGACTAAGATGAAAACATGCCGGGCGGTGGTGGCGCACGCCTTTAATCCCAGCACTTGGGAGGCAGAGGCAGGCGGATCTTTTTGAGTTCTGTGAGGCCAGCCTGGGCTACAGAGCGAGATCTAGGAAAGGCGCAAGGCTACACAGAGAAACCCTGTCTCGGGAAAAAAAAAAAAAAAGAAAAGCAAACAGAATGGGCTGGAGGTCTAGCTCAGCAGTAGAGCACTTATGTAACATGTTCAAGACCCAGGATTCCATCCCTAGCACCACACACATACATGTGACACAGACACACACACATGTTTATGTGTACAGATACACATGCATGTGCACAGACACATATACACATACGTGTGCACACACACACACACAAAAGCAACACCAACAAAGTTCTCTTTTGCAGATGAGAGAAGTGAAACCCAGATGTTTAAGTTAAGTGTAACACACGGCTTCTTAACCTGGGACCATGGGTGTTTCCAGCTGGATACTTCTCTATCCTGGGAAAGACTGTGCACAGTGAGGTATTTGCAGCATCTGGGAATCTACTTACTGAATGCCAACAGAACTCCTGTCCCCAGTTAGGACAATCAGAAAACACCTTCAGACATTGCCAAATACCCCTAGGGGAGGACCAAATCACCTCCATCTAAGAATCACCTGTCTCGTGTCATATGGTTAGTAGCAAAACTGGAATCTTAATACAGGTTAGTCTGGCTCCAAAGGCTGAGATTTTAACATCTGGCTATGATCCTGGGTAGGAGACATGAGAGTCAGAGGAGTCAGGTGGAACCTGGGACCACTGAGAGGCAGTTTCGCCCCCTCACAGGGTGGGAAGGGCTGACTCTGGAGCCAAGAGGTGATGGGATTTAGAAATCCAAGACGTGGCTTGGAAATCCCTTCAGAATGAGTTCCTGAGGGCTGTCCTTGACTAATTTTTCCTTGATTACAGGGTATATATGACCAAACACTGCTGAACTGGTGAATCATGTGTGCAGGGGTGATAGCTATCACCCCTAAGGTGGGAGACCTCACCCATTCTTTAAGTGGCCGCATGTGGCAAGCTCCCGGCTAGGGGCCACGGGGAGGTGATCTGTCTAATCTCCACTTTGACCCTATGAAGCAGGCACTAGTACCTGTACGTGGTACACCAGGAGCCCCGAACTCTTGAGAGGTTGAGAAACTGGCAGGAAAAAGCGGGACTTGTTCCCACTGGGACTCGGGAGTGAGGAAAACTCCTAGCTGACTTGGGGTGGAGGTAGGTCGAGGCAAGAATGGTCCTTAGGAGAAGTGATTGACAGTTATTTGTAAAGCCTGCAGATCTCTTATTTAAATGAAGTCTCATCAAAACGCCACTAAATTAAGCAACAGAAGCAGAAACTAGCTGGCCATTCAGGTTGGCCCTGTACCTCCCTTAAGATGTCCCCAAACCCTGAAAATAGGCCCTTATCTTCATAAGTGGGCTCCTGCAGCTCGGCATGGTGTAATCCTAGTATTTGGGCGGAGAGAGCAGAAAGGCTGAAGTTCAAAGTCGTCCTTG